CTATTTTTACACTTTCATAGTGTCTCGACCCCAGTTTGTGGGTTAACTATTTACCCATAGCTGGGACCCTAACATCCTGGGTCAGGGAACACCAACAATTAAGAGGTGGTTCCACGTTCCTCAAAACCTCCTGATCAGAGGCCTTGCTGTTGGACGAAGTTTATCGTCATACCCAGGACCATTGGGTATTTTGTATTTATTCATTAATTACTTGTTGTTGATTATTATTATTATCATTACATTTATTTATTTTACGTGTATTCGTTGTTTGTTAATTTGTTTATTATTAAGTTAATTTTCTAATTTATTTTATTTTTTCTTGTCTATCTTATTTGTTTAATTTAAAGTGTTGATGTTTTTCTAAAATACGTCACATTACCTGCGTTGTATATCGTGCACATATATATATATATATATATATATATATATATATATATATATATATATATATTCATTTTTCATGGCTAGTTTAACAATGCATTTGTTTTTAGTTTCCGATTTTTAAGTAACGTAGTAAAAAAAATTATATTCGTTTCTGCATTTACATACTGATATTGAGCATTATTATTTTAACCATAATAATAGCATACCTTAAAACTATATTAATTTATATGTCATATATATATATATATATATATATATATATATATATATATATATATATATATGCCTTACCAGTCCCGACTTGATTAGCATGGAACACCGTCGAAAAGTGGACTGTAAATGATTTTTATCTGGGCCTAAAGCGTCAACAGTTTTATGACAACGACTAGTAAAATTGAAATGTGATAATTCAAGGAAATCACTCGCTGTCGTCAAGTAAATTAAAAAAATAAGAAATAAATAAGTAAATTAAAACTTTCGGAGTCAAGTGCCGCTTGATCGGAAAGTTGAGTATTCACGTAGTGGACTTTTATTGTCAACCCACATTTTAGAAAGGCCAGTTACGAGCCGTCAGTCATGATATGTAGAGTCAGGAGCACTCAGAGTGACGCGAGAGAGATCCAGAAAAGGGTGCGACATAAAGATACACACGCCTACATACAAAGAAATGGAAAGAAGAAAAAGAGACATATAAACAGAGTATAATAAATACACACACATAACTATAATATACATACGTATTTATATAATATAAACTTACGAAATATAAAGTACCTTAGCTTAGAAGTATCTATCTATCTATCTATCTATCTATCTATCTATCTATCTAGTATAAGGGAGATGTAGGTTCTACTAATATTCGTCTCATGTAATCGTTGTATTTTCGATTGAATTGCAATTTCGATAAGTGACAAGTTAACCTACGATAGAGTGTGGTCCTTCTCTAATGTTAATCGTTGATTTTCGATTGAACTGTACTGTTTCAATAAGTGACAAGTTAATCTACAATAGAGTGTAGTGCTTGTGTAACCAATGTATGAATCTAATATCCATTTTTTTATTACTGATATTGCTGATATCATCTCCCAAAAGACACAAGTCTTATAAAGCAATATTGTTTATGGTCATTTTTACGACACCGAATCAGTGGTAATTATTAGTTAGATGTTTTACATATTTTCATAGTAAATAATAAATCTAAGATGTTTATTGCAATCATTGCCTTGCGAATTATGTTTTTAATTACTCTTTCTTCTTGTATAACGTAAGGGAGGAGAACGGAATGTCTATATCACGATGGTTGTTTGTGTCATTTCTCTAAACTCTTTAAGACGAAGAAATTATTTTTGTGCGGTTAATCATGATTTTTATAACTGCAATTTTATATTTCTGAAGACATTCATTTTTGTAATGAAGAACACGAGAATTTTTACTTGTACTTTTTGTATACAGAGAGGTAATAAAATTATGGCTGTCGGCGCCTACTGAAATGTCAAGTAAATTGATTCTATTTTCATGATTAAGTTCATGAGTATAGTGCAGAGTTACTCGTGAAAGTTTCTTTAAGGATTTAAAAAAAATTCTTCCAGGTTTTTCGTTAGTGTAAATATGTCATCGATATATTGAATATATATCATAGGCTTGATAAAATCATTAAAGATTTTGTTTTCTAAATAATATTCTCAGAGATTTTATAAGGATATTAAGGCCAAAATCGATATGACACAGCAATATAGTTATTACAGACTATAGTCATATAAGTTTTCTCAGAAAGAGCACAAGAATAGACATGATTGAGTTGGAAGAGATAACTATCGGGAACTGTTCAAGTAACTTGGATTGGACCATTAATATATATCGAGATCAGAAGTTGTTCCAGAAAATTATAAAAAAAAAAATAAAATACTCTTGGAGTCGGAATTTAAATTGCATCACCCTATCCATGCCAGAAAACCAAATATCTTCTCCTTCCTATTATATGTCCCTTCAAGGGTGGGCGATCATGACTCTCCACAATTTTCTATCTTTTGTAACTATTAGTAATTTTTGTCCTTTTACCATCTCTCCCATTCCCTGTTCGGCTATCTTCGTTCGTTAGATTGGTTACACGTTGCTT